CTACCTGTACATTCTAAAGCAGCGGTTCTCAACCTGTGGGTCGTGACCCCTTTGGGGGTTGAATGACCCTTTCACAGGAGTCGCCGGATTCATAACAGTAGCAAAATTACAGTTATAAAGTAACAATGAAAAGTTATAAAGTTATAAGCTTATAAATTTATAAAGTAACAATATGGTTGGGGGTCAACAAGAGGAACTGTATTCAAGGGTGGCGGCATTAGGAAGGTTGAGAACCACTGCTCTAAACTCTACCCTTTTCATGGCTGTTCTATTGCTAGTCGATTCTCACCAGAAATGTGGACACATGTGGATTCAGACACCATAACTGATCACAGTAACATTGACTTCTAATAGCAAAATATTGGAAACAACTCAAATATCCTTTGATGGAAGAACGGAAATATTTTTCATATATTCATACAATGGGATATTATGCAGCCTTGAAAATAATCAGATGGCCCCTCATACAACTACATGGATGAGTCTCACTGATAGGAAGTTGAGCAAACAAAGCCAGGTACCCAGGAAAATATAATTATTCTATATACTTAGAAGCTCAAACCAGGCAAAACTAGTGTTTAAGGAATCTGTACTTAGATGGTAAAACAAGTATGTAATTACCACAAAAGTAAGAATGATTGTTAACTTTATACAGAGGGAGAGTGTTAATAATATGAGGCTCAGGGGTACTAGGAATGTTCAGGGTAGCCACTTTGCAAGTATTCATTTTATAATATCAATTGAACCAATACATTAAACATTTAATGCACTTTTCTAGATGTGTATTGTGTTTTATAAGTAAATGGTTCTAAAAACTGATTGAAATATATATCCCTAGACTGAAAACATTTGATACATTTGTCTGATACAGGGATGGTCTTTCTAATGAGGCCAATGCTCATGAAACATAAGTAATAACATTTCACCCAGGTACACTATTTCACTGGTTTAGCTCCATACTTGATTCAGACATGGCAGAAATGGCTGTTTTTTACTTCAGGTGAGAAAATTCAGACCAGAAGAGGTTAAATGGACCATTCAAATCCACATTGCTAGTATGTGGCAGAGCTGTTAACTGGAAACCCGGTCTTCTTTTGGTTGTTGCCAAATCAAAGTGAAACCCATAAGCTGAAAAGGCAGACGAATTTTATTTACCTCATGTTCCCCAAACCAGGAAGCTAAAGCTACTCTAGGGGGATTGGGGATTCCATGAAATTCTCAGAAAGTGGGTGTAGCTTCAATTTTCAAAAGCTTATTCCCCACAAGTCTTAAAATGCTTCATGTTCTAGATTCCTCCATGGTAAGCAATAAATTGGTACATGAAAGACCAATCCCCATCAATCAAGAATCAGAAAAGTGCATGTTTTGTGTCTATATGATGGATCTGTGAAGATGTGTACATCTAGCTTCAGAGATGAGAGGTGAGGATATGTGTCTGGAAAGAATGCAATAGGATAGTCTCATTACACTTGACATGTTAGCTATGAGTTAGCTACTTTTGTGTATCAAAAGGATAAAAATAAAACTGTTAACTTCTTACATTTTCTGTGCTTTACTTAAACCCTTTAGATATAGTCTATAAAATTCAGTTCCTAGAAATATCCTTTCTACCAAAAAAATTAATAAAATCGTATTATTTAACTTCATTGCAAAGAATATTTCAAAACTAATCTCTGATGTTTAGCTAGTGTGGTTTCTCCCAAGAGATATTATGGGGGTATTAAGGCAAATAATCCATTGTGGTTTCCTGTGATGCTTTAAAATATCCCACAGCTCTTGCTTGAGGGAAAGAAAATGTTTCTTCCAATGTGATTTATATGCTTTTTTTAGTTCATGCTGAACCTCTTTTTCTTGTTAAATCTTGAAAGAAGTTTTCTTTTAGCCTTTTCTGATTCTATTTAAAAAAGTTTAGGTTTGAGGGATGCATAATCAGTTTCTACTTTCTAGACTGTTTTCTACTTCATATTTCTGGGGGAAAAAGACAAGTGTAATCATTTTATCTATTAGTTTTAAAATTGGGGTTTATATATAGCTGTGGTAGTGGTAAGGAGGACTAATTCTGGAGACAGCTTGCATAAAAATTCAATGTTCGACGCTGCCACTTGTTGACAAAATGACCATGGGCTAGTATTTGATCTCTCTACTACTCATTTTAAGGAGTCCTTGCAGTGCAATCGTTAGGGGCTTTACTGCTAACCAAAGGTCAATGGTTTGAATCCACCTAGTGGCTCCATCGGAGCAAAGACCTGGCAATCTCCTCCTTTAAAGATGTTGCTGTTGTTGTTAGGGTCCCTGGAGTGGGTTCTGACTCATAGCAACACTCTGAGCAGCAGAATCAGGCAGTGCCCGGTCCAACAACAGCCTAACAATCGTTACTGTGTTTGGGCCCATTTTTTTGCAACTACTGTATCAACCCATCTTATTGATGGTCTTATTCTTTTTCACTGACATTCTACCAAGGATGGTGTTTTTATCCAGGGGCTGGCCTTTCCTGATAACAAGCCCAAAGCGCAGGAGACATCCGCCATCCTTCTGCTAAGGAGCAATCTAGGCACACTTTCTCCAAAGCACACTTCTTAATTTATTTATCTGTAAAATGTAGCTGAGGTATTTGAATTGTGTCAGAACCCATTAACAATAAAGTTATTAGAATAGAACTTTGGAAGAAATAACAATAGTATCTACTGTACAAAATTGTTAAGAGAATAAATTGGATGAATATTTTTTGTAAAGCAGCTCTAATGGTCTATGGCACATGCAAACAATTAAAAATTTTGTTAACTAAAATAGAATATACTAGCTGTGGGTCTAGACTTTGTGCTTTTATTTTTTTTATCTTTCAAATGGGTGTCTTTAACTTATAGGATATATGAGTGCTTTATAATGACAATAGCAATTATTGCTTGAAAATTCTTTGAAATAAAGTTGGTAAAATTGCTATTTATTCTGATAATTGTCAATATAATTAGAATGCAGTTACATTAGAAGATAGAGTAACTTGGCAAACCAACATAAAATAGTAGGTTTTGATCAAACAAGTAATTTTTGTGTGTGTGCCTTTGCCCTAGATAAGATAGGTAGCCCTTTGAATATATCAGCCTAATCATCATGAATACACTAGTTCTTTTTTTATCTTTTTCTTTTTTAACATTTTATTAGGGGCTCATACAACTGTTATCCCAATCCATACACACATCAATTGTGTAAAGCGCATTTGTACATCGTTTCTCAAAACATTTTCTCTCCATTTAAACCCCCGACATTAGGTCCTCATTTTCCCCCTCCCTCCCCGCTCCCCCCTCCCGCATGAGCCCTTGATAGTTTATAAATGGGTATTTTGTCCTATCTTGCCCAGTCCGACGTCTCCCTTCATCCACTTTTCGGTTGTCTGTCCCCCAGGGAGGAGGTCACACACAGTTCCATGTAATCAGTTCCCTCTTTCCTACCCATTCTCCCTCTACCCTCCCTGTTTTGCCACTCACACCACTGGTCCTATAGGGCTCATCCGTCCTGGATTCCCTGTATTTTAAGTTCCTATCTGTACCAGTGTACCTCCTCTGGTCTAATTAATCCATATAAATTACCTGAGTGGTATTAAGAAAATAATTTATATAATCTGTGATGTGAGAAATCAAATGTTTCATTATTCATCATCCATTATGCAGTTTTGATTTAATTTACTTTGTTGTATGTTATTTTACTGCTCTAATAACTTAATGATTTGAATCTATCAACTTAATGATTATTTATAATCATTTGTGATATTATATAATAGATTTAAAGGATATTATAAAATAACTCATGATTAAATAGCTATGAATATTATTAATCTGCCACCTAAATCTGACTGCTATGTGCACTTCGATAGAATGATTTATTATCTTTTAAAAATGCATATAACACAACAATAAGTGTCATTTCCCATTGGTATATAGGTATAGTCATCATCAATATTACTTAAACTAGAGCAAATAGTCTGTACAGGACAGCGTCCTTGACTCTCCATGTCTTTATATATCTATGGATGTATTACACCACTGCCAAGTAAATAAAAAATACTTGATGCTCGTCCATTGTTGGAGGTGTTTTTTTTCTCTCAAACACAACTGATAATCATAAGCTTGCTTTGTTGCAACTTGTGCTTATGGAAATTCCTCCTGAGTGTCTTTGACCTACCTGTGTAGCATGTCCTTAGCATCACCCAGTCTGACCCTTTCTGGGGTGATATTTATTTGCATTTACTCACGAGGAGCTCTCTCTAGGCACACAGGTTTAACTGGTAAATCTTAATAAAGACTCTTCGGTCTGCAACTTCATTTTTACAGCTCCTAATCCCCCACATTCTAAAAATGCAAAAATAAAAAAGGTAATATAAGTGACACTATATTGGTAAATGTGACCAGAATGGATGTGAAGACCTATTTGATGTCAATATTCCCATCTTTTGCTATAAAAATATTAATAGTATGTTGCTATTAATTGGTTGCTACCTTAACACCCTAATGGGAGTGTTATAGAATATATAGTACATGCATATTATCTTTATAAAATCTGAAAAAAATAAGCTGGCAGCTAAGGTTAACATGCATTCTGTAAGCATGCTGTTGCTTACTTAATCTTAACTCTCACGTGAACTTCTTGAAACAATTATTGTCATGGGTAGCTGTATTCTCCTAGCCCATTGTTTTAAGAAATATTTGACTGGCTCCACAAGTTACTTATAGATATTGATGATGAATAATTTCAAACTAACACCAGCCACATAAACTTTCACAGATTTGAGTGTAATGGTTACTGGACGTCCTGATATACAAATATCAAATACTTTACCTGACATATGGCCCCCACAGCTGGCAGAGTCACATTTGTCTGTGGATTACATTGTTCCGATAGTGTCTTTTCTCAGCAAGATCTGTACATTCCTTATGCTATAACTCTTTGGTAAGAGATATTAAGGCTACCTTGTTTGTGGAAACTAATTTTGAAACTATTATTTTTAGGTATTTACTACCAGGAAGTGCACAATTCTTCATGAGAACATCAACCTACAACTGGAAATACAGTTCACCTGGAATGACCCGCTCCAATGTTTTGTTCACACCCCGATATGGCCATTTTTGAGACAAAAAAGATCACCCTGGATTATGCATAATGGCAACTCATTCTTTCCAAGAGAAACATGCAAAGGAAGTGACCATTAAGTGCTATGTTTTGTATTATGACACATGTGACAATATATACATGCAGGCACTCATCACATATATTTATTATAATACATGAGTGAAGAATTAGCTGAAAACTGAATATAAGATTAAACCTTTCTGGAAATATAATAAACCATGTTAAAATTGTTTACACAAACATGAGACTGTCTAGAATTTGCTAGGTTTATAATTAAATCCTTCCTACTAGAAAGGTTATTTTTTTTGCAGAATATATAAAACAGAATTGATCTTAAAGATCCCATTACAGTGTTAAATTATTTTCTAGGTCACATGCCTTTTGACTTGAAAAAAGCATTAATGGTATAATACCTTATTAATTTTCTTATAATAGTAGCCATTTAAAAGGAAAAAAGAAAATATCTAGAAGCCGGATAGATTGCTTGATAGAATTATATTGAATGATGTATTACCTAGCACACTATAATGTACTATTAATATTCCAACCTGACTCTAACATCTTCACTCCTCTGTGTCAAAATTTAGCTACCTATAATAATATGTGCATTTTTCAATTAGGATCTAGCAAGATCATATCTTGATCTAAAATGGAAGACAATCTGTTGGATTACAAATAAACACAACCCAAAATAGATTTTATTTTAAATTTTCATTGGAGTTCCAAAAAGAATAGAAAATAATGGCAACGAAAAGGTATTTCTGTATGATACTTAGTCTCATAACAACCCTTTTTATGCGGAAATGTATCTTCCGTGGGCACATGTGGTCAAATTCAATTCTCCTGCTCTGTGGAAGAGCTAACATGGCATGTTCATCTTGGGGTTATGGGATAATAATTCACACTGATGCCTCAGTCTCCCCGTTCTGAGGCCACCTCACACCGATAAGTCTAATCAGTAGATTCACACTGCACCTTAGAAAATGGAACTGATTGGGAATAAAGGATTCCAATGACTAGATATTAGTAGCCATCCACGTAAAACCCGAGATAACCCCCATCCCCAAAACACCCACACTAGATATGAAGTTTCTTTCCTCTTCAAAATGATTATGTGAAGCTACATAGAAGTTTGCTTCCTTTTCTACCTTACAGTTTTGAAATAATGAGTGAGCTTTCTGGTTTCCATAAAAATATAAACAGGACTCTTACTGATATTGAAATCCTTAAAAAGTACAACATGCACCTTTTAGCCATTCATTTAAATTTGTTCCCCCCAACAGTTTTATTTTCAGATTTAGATGTTTTTTCCCTCCATTTACGAAAAGCTATTTTCAATAAATCCCACAAATGATTCTAAAGCAAAAGAACTGAGACAAGGAAACCAGTCTAGTTTAATTCACATATAACCCAAAGTATTTTGCTTTTAAAGTTATATTCTGAGGTTACATTAGGCCAACAAATTAGTCTTCTAAATTATTGCTAGCTATGTAATTCTTTATGAAAATGTAGCACACATATTCCAGTAGATAATTTTTGTTGTTGAAAGCATCCCAAAGATTTGCTATTTGTTTGTAGCAAACTAGGATAAGGATGTCTGGATGAAGGAAACGGTGGTATAGTCCTTAGTGTTTATGACTCCATTCGTGAATTATTTTAATATGTTCTTGATGTATTAGAATAAATAATGCAAATAGTGGGATAATATAATTGACCATCAAGTAAGGGGCATTCTTATATATTTTTTTTTTCTTGAAAACTCATGATTGGGTCATAGATAAGACATTAAGTGTCTGGGAGCACCTGGCTGATAATTGAAATGTTGGTGGTTTAAACTCATCTAGGGACGCTGAGCAAAAATTCCTGGCAATCTCCTCTTATGAAAAATAAAGCCAAGAAAGCCTCATGGGTTAGTTTTACTCTTATCATAGTGGGTGGCTGTGAGTTGACAGTTGACTTGACACTCCACCTAACACTACAAACAAATTTAACCCCATTTGTTGTATTAGTTGAAATAACAAATGGGTACCTAATTTGCAAGAGTGGATACTCTGGAAACCTCTCTCCTTAGTTTTTCATGTTTTATTGACAAAGAAGGAAACGTTAACATGGGGAGAAATCCCAGCACCCAAACTCCTAAGTAAACAAAAAGGACACCTTAAAAACAGGAGTCAAATGTTTGAGAGCGCCCAAGTAATTGATGAGCAAATTTCATTTTTCTTGCTACTTCAGTTTGACCCCATATTTAGCACTGTAGTTTTACTGTCCACATTTGCTTGTCTATGTTGAACTAGTTTGAGACAGTGAAATTCTGACTCCTGCCATGTCCACATGTATATAGACTACACGGTGTGCTATGGCCCATGGCTACTGATTCCCTACTGAGCAACGAATAGAAGACACGTTAGGAAAGCGTGGAAGTCTCTAGCAGCCATACATATGTTTTAGAGGTATAAACTATTCCTTTTTATTATAAATTTTTTATCTTAGGGTTAAAATGTATCAGGTCAAGAGATAGTACGGGTCTGTCTCTCCTTTAGGAGAGAAAATAGCTTTATCTGAAAATTATCAGAAGCTGCATATTCTTAGCAGGGTTTTTGATAATGAAGAATTTGGTTTACTTACCACAGAAGCTTATTTTCACTTTGTTAGAGAAAAGAAAAAGCACTGCTCATTCTGTAAATTTGAGTTGAGATGCTTTCCAGAACCACAGAAGATTGGAATACTTTCCGGAATCATAAGAAGCAACCGCTTTATTTAAAAAAATCATCACGTGAAGTCATACTTTGAGGCTGAAGAATAGTTTTCACTTTAATATACGGCTTTGTAGAGTAGTTACCATTTGCTTTATACAATCTGTTGAAGGAACTACTGTGATTTACATTTTGATTATTATTATTAGCCTCAAATTGCATTTCATTTACCTTGACTATATAGAAGCAAGTATAACCAGATCCAATATAGAGATGGCAGTGAAGCTGTCTGCCTATAATGCAGCTGAATACTCACAGTGCTCTCATGTCCTGCTATGATTAAGATGCAGAGATGTACACAGACTTTTCCATGTCTACATTCGCTTTACATACATAGTTCATAGGACTTCATCTTACCAAAAACTAAAACCAAACCAAATGAAACCAACAAAATAACCCACCTTTTATATTTTCATCTAGTACTTATACACTTAGAACATAGTGCCTCCCAGTAAAATATTTCACTTTAATTATCTTTATAATTTGATAGCTTTAAGACAATGTCATTCCATTATCTAACTGGACGTGTCAGATGTTTGAATATGAATTCAAATTCAAATACGTTCTTTTTTGTTTTTCAGTTCTCACCCATCCTTAGATTTTATTAAACTAATTAGTTCTTCCAATCACTTATATATAGCCTGCCAAAGTCATTTCGTTTAGAACTACTCTTTAAATCTAAACATATACTTACTTGACCTTTCCAAAATGCAAAAAAGAAAGAGAAGGGATAGTGATAGTTCCATACCTCCATTTTCCAGATTTGTATAAGGCATTGCTTCATTCTTAAATGCATGTTCCCTTAAAATAATAGTAAATATCTCAAGATGACAAAAAATAATTTCCTTTTCTCTTATATAATGCTAACATATATTTTGAGCCTTAATATATTAAGTTTTTGAGTCTCGGGTTTGGGAGTTAAACAATTAAAAAGTTCAACTACAATTATTTGATTGTGTTGCTGAGATCTGATTTTTTTAAAATTTGTTTTTCTTTTGAAGTGAGAACATCACATTTTTAAGGGCTGTATTTGTTACCTAAATAGTTTGAGCTAACATTGATGTATGAATAAATTAAAAATTTAATAACATATTAAGGATCATAATTTTATTATTTTTTACCCTGCTCTCATTTTTTTTAACTTGTTAGTTTTCCTTGAAGTTTTGACCTTTGTGTGGACAAAGTCAAGAAAAAGACAGCTTGCCTTTAAATATTAGTTTTCGTTGCACTTTATGATTTTATGGGTTTTTTTTGCCACAGCAACAATAAAACTTAGATGAAACATGGTATTAAATTAAGTCAGTTTGTCAGAGAATTTTTAAAAACCAAATTCAACTCTCTGTAACTAAAATGCATTAATTGTCTGGTTCCTTAAGAACCAACATACATAGTCAAAATAGCAGTTTAGCAACAATTTGGTATATTCAAACTTGGTGCAGACTTTAAGATTGCTGCGCTATCCCTTTTTCTGCTAGTGTTTTTTGCTTCATTAGAAATGTATGTATGATATATTAGGAAAGGAAAGAAAATCTTCAGGTAACACATTCTGCATTACCTGAGCTATATTAGCTGAGGAAAACGATGTAAAGCCTTCATTCCCTGCCCCTCCCCCCAACTTTAGAGTAAAAGATAACATTCAATACAATAATATTTTCTAAAATTGTAAGAATGTGTATCTTGCAAAAGTAGTCAGGTAATGCTAGTATTTCTCTTTCAAAGGTTGACGTTGATAGTTCTTGGGGCTGAGATCTGCTGTCCCACACAGTAAGTAGTATGTGTGGCACAACATTATCATAACAAGGGGCTTGCCAAAGATTCTGACTTTGAGGATTAGCTAGGAGGCAATACCTTTGCTAACATGCATCATGACTCAAAGTGTCCCCATGTGATTTACTACCCATGTATGAGTACAGATATTGTTACGGGAAATGTGCTTGCAATGTCAACCCAATGTGCAATTAGCATTGCATTGTCACGCTTCAGCATGTGATCGCTGTATGGTGAACTTATTTTAATTACTCAGATATGTAACTATAATAAAATGTTTAACATACGAAAGCTACAGCATGTTATCAAACGGTTATTTTTGTTTACACACACACGCGCAGAGTTTTTAGTAATTGATGAGACTGGCTCCCAATTAAACTTTCAGGTTGCTGAGATATATTTTCACAGTGATTTTCTGTTGCTGTTCAGAAAGCAATGGCTCTGTGGGGATAACTTCACCTGCTATTAAAGTCAGGTCGAGTAAACAAAGTAGGTGCCAATCCCTTTCTACATGGCTGGAAGGCAGCAGATTCTGAACTTTGGAAATGGCACTTTCATGTCTTCTCTCATGGAATAAAACAGCAGCACTTCTGGTAAGGTTATAACTATGTTAGCATCTCATATATGAGCTTACTTTTCTTGGGGAATTCAAAATATTGTTATTTTTAAAATACTATGCTAAACTTCAGTAAGGAGGATGTTTTTAGTCTTACTACCTTTTATACATTCATTCATTAAAGATAATTATATCTAAAGAATTTAGAATTTTTTTTCCACAAAGAAAGGGATCATTTTGGAGAAAACCTTATAAAATAAGATTTTATATGCTCGTGTGGCTTACTTTTTTCAGATTGACAACGAGTGGCACAAATGTTGACTTTTAAGAGTACATTGTTATTTATACAAAGTGAACATATTCTATAAAAGATTCAAAGTTGAATTTTTTTTCAGTGAAAGATGAAGATGGGGTAAAGAAGGGAAGCTTGTAGGTCCCTTTTATATAAAATATGTAAGTAAGTTGTTGTTAGGTGTAGTTGTGCAGGCTCTGACTTATGATGACCCTGCAGACGACCATGGCTATATTGGAGCCCACTGTTGCAAATACTGTGTCAATCTATCTCGTTGACGGTCTGCCTCTTTTTCATTGACCCTTGCTTTCCCGAGCATGGTGATATTTCCCAGACCTGGTTCTCTGATAACACGCTAAACTAAAGGTCATTATTTTAATGACCTCTAGCTTTCTTAATGTCTGATGTGATTGTTGTGTCATCCAGTCAGTTCCAGCTCCTAGTGACCCTATGCTCAACAGAGCCAAACACTGGCTAGTCCAGCACCAGGCTATCCTCATGCTGTGTGTCATGTGTGAGCGCTTGTTGCCCTCACTGTGCCCACCCAGCTCATTGAAGACCATCTTTTTCACTGACCCGCCTTTCAACCAAGCATGATGCCCTTTCCTAGGGACTGGTCTCTCTTTATAACACTTCCAGAGCCACTTGCTTCTGAGGTGAATACTGTCTGTACTTCTGGAGAAGATTTGTTTGTTCTTCTGGCAGTCCTTGGAACTTTCAGTATTCTTCACCAGCACTATAATTCAAATGCATCGATTCTTGATGTGCTGCCAGGTGACTCAAATACCATGGCTTGAATCAGGTACACTTTAATCTTTTTTTTAAAATTCTTTTATTTAATCATTTTATCGGGGGCTCGTACAACTTTTACCACAATCCATCCATCCATCCATCCATTGAGTCAGGCACATTTGTACATTTGCTGCCCTCATCATTCTCAAAACATTTGCTTTCTACTTGAGCTCTTGGTATCAGCTCATTTTGTCCCTTCCCTCCCTCATGAACCCTTGATAAATTATTATTATTTTGTCATATCTTACACTGTCTGACATCTCCCTTTCAAATGGTCTTCTTTCTCTTCAGCATTTTAAAGAAGTCTGTGCAGAAGCTTTGCCTAATGCAATACTTCACTTGATTTCTTGACTGCTGTTACCATGAGCTGGATCCAAGCAAAATAAAATCCTCGATAATTTAAATCTTTTCTGCATATGTTGATCATATGCTACTTATTAAAAGATGGTCTAGTTCTGAAGATTTTGTTTTTAATTGCATTGAGTTGTAATCATCTGTATCATCTGTCTATCAAAGGTTGCTAATAAGCCTTCCTCGAATACTGATGCCAACTTCTTCCTCATTGAGTCCTGCTTTGTGGATAATCTTTTTGGCATACAGATTGACTAAATATGGTGAACACATCCAACTCACCTGTACCTTTTCTGGATTTAAAACAAGCAGTGTGTATTTTTCTTGTTCTGTTTGATGACTGCCTCTTGGTACATGTATAGGTTCTGCATGCGCACAATGAAATGTTCTAGAATTCCCATTCTTTGCAATGTTATCCATAGTTTGCTGTGATCCACACAGTTGAATGCCTTTGCATCGCCAATAAAACAATAAAACACAAGTAAATATCTTTCTGGTATTTTTTGCTTTCAACAACGATGTCCCTCGGGCCATGTCCTCTTCTGAAGCCAGCTTACATGTCTAGCAGCTCCCTGTCATACTGCTGCAACTGTTCTTGGATGATCTTCAACAAAATTTTACTTGTATGTGATATTAATGATATTGTTTGATAATTTCTGTACTCTGTGGTGTCTCTTTTATTTTTCAAATTTCTTGGCATATATTAGTAAGAAATTTAAGTGCTTCACCAGCTTGGTGAAACCCTTCAGTGGGTCTTTTTGATAAACTGCAGTCTTTCATGAAGGCCTTCAGCGCAGACTGAACTTCTTTCAGCATAACTGATTCATATGCCACCTCCTGAAATAGTTGCATGTCTACTTGGCACAGTGACTCTTTATATTTCTTTCACTGTCTTTTGAATGCTGAAAAAAAATCAAAAATTCAAACCTTGAACTGCAATATTAAAAGATTCTGTGGGCAAAATATTGAATGATGCAGGAAACATTAAAAGTTGATGTTCTTGATGTCAGCCCACAATCATTTGGCCTTAAGTCATCAGTGTTCAGTGCTTCAAATTTATCCTCAAGATGGTCTGTACATTCACATGGTATATATACTCAAGACTATATTTTGGCTCTTGTGAACTTGTTTTTATTTTGTTCAGCTTCAGTCTGAACTTGTATATGAGTAATTGATGGTGTGTTCTGCATTCAGCCTCGCACCTTGCTTTTATTGATGGTATTGAGCATTTCCTTTGTCCCTTCCCACAGATGGACTCAATTTGATTCTTGTATCTTCCCATTTGTGAGGTCTACATGTATAGTTGCCACTTATGTTGTTGAAAACAGGTATTTGCAAGAAAAAAGTGATCAGTCACACAAAATTCTATCACGTGCTCTCAAGCTTTGTCTTTGCCACCAAGCCCATATTTTCCAACTCCTGACCCCTCCTCTTTGTTTCCAGCATTTGCATTCTAACTGTTTATGATTATGAATCCATCTTGATTACATGTTTGATCAATTTACTACGGAAGAACTTGGTAGAATTGTTGACTTCTTCACCATTGGCTTTAGTGGTTGGGTAAATTTGAATAATAGTCTTATTAACTAGTGCTTCTTGGTTTCTGAGCGTCACTTACACTCATAGTGACACCACTATTAACAGAGCGAAGTAGTGCCAGGTCATTTACCATCCTCACAGTTGTCATGTCCGAGTCTGTAGTTGCAGCCACTGTGCTAATCTGTTTTTTGCTGATTCTCTACAAGTATCATGTCCTTTTCCTAGGACTGGGCTCGTCAGATAATGTGTCCAAAGTATGTGAGATGAAGTCCTGCCATCCATCCTCACTTCTAAGACCCTTTTGTGCGTTCTTCTGGAAGG